TTTTGGGCCAACGGATCGAGTTGCCGAGTGAAGTGCGTTTTGACTGGGACGCGTCGACGGCGAGAATGGCATCGGTAACCGGAAGACACTTCCAAGCAGAAATGCTGATGTCGCTACTGAAGATACTAGGCAACTTGGAGGATGTGGCGTTCGTGCTTGGTAGTAGTTGTCCTACTATAGATATGAAGTTCTAAACGCCATAGGACCGTGTGCCCGACTGAGGAAACAATATATTGATATAGGATGGCTAGCTGAGAGAATATAGCGGCCATGCTTGGGATGGTAGAAGTAGTGAGTGAGCGTTTTTGTGATTAAACCTAGAAAAATGTCATAGTGGGACCTGATTGCCTTAAATGGCGTCTCTCTTACGAAACTAATACTCCTCGTACAAGTTATGTCTCTAGCTGTACTTGTGTGAAGTGGGTTATTACTGATGACGCGTATAGACGTCGAGTATAATATAATAATAATATTTTATTGTTCGACTCTTACGACAATCCTCCGGTAAAATCTACCAACCGATTAAGTAGATTGGTAACCAGCTCCTTCCCATTATTACTGCAGTACACGGCCATAACGAGCAAGAAGTGAACCGGGGACCACACCAAAAACGGTGAAACTGATAAACTTTATGAACGCGGTTCATGAGGTTTTTCTGGTTCAGTTGATCTATGTGAGATGTGTTTGAATTTAAGTGAACCAAAGCAGTGCGAACAATAAGATTGAATAGCGAACTTACTATCGGCACGGAGGTGAAACTGCAGCACTAAGTGCGCGGCTCTTTAATGAGTACGCATTTTTTTTCCGGTCGCATCTGAAAACTCACGAACTAATTTTGCTTCTTCTTGCGCAATGAGCTAGATCGTGCCAGCATCAGCAGACATCGAAGGTCTTGCACAAGAGCTCGTCGCCTGCACACCCCAGCAAGTGTTCACAGACATTGGTGAGCCTTCGTCTACAGGGCAGCAACTGTAACGGCGAAGCAGACAGATTTCCCTCACTGAAGTTGTATATAATTGTAATGAAGACCCGGATGGGAGTGTCATCTCGCGTGCAGTACAAGAGCACTTGCATCGTAGTGAGGATAATGACTTGGCCTTGGAGCACCGTACACGGCAGCTGCTGCACTATACTCACAATCTCGTACGCGACACACAGGCTGAGACGGGGGCAAACCCTAAGCAGCTTGTAGATGCTAAGATGCATGCTCAGCACAAACCATTCGGCGGGCTATTACAAAGAGCTCTTCAAGGGTCCCATGATCATCAAGCCACCATGCAAAACGCTCATGCAGCTCGGACGGAACTATTCTGTGCGACCGTCTGAAACAAGGAATAACACAGCTACAGCTTAACGTCGACACTGCCGTCAGAGGGCAAGCTGATTCTCGAGCGGCAAGCATCAGAGCCGGCTTAGAAGAAACCTTAAAAACAACTCGACAATCACGGCTAGACCATCTTGAAACACGGCTTCTCGAGAAGATCCGTGCTGCACAAGATCGCGAGATCTGGCGTGTTCATGCAGATTTATTGGACGATATAGGGAAACTAGCTGAGGCGCGTCCGAACGAAAAATTAGAAGATTTGGAACAATTCACAGCAATAACAAAAATGAGATTTCGGCGAAGTTGATATTAGGTATATTAAGTGTGAGTTAGCCGGTGAATCTCGAAGCTACTTGGATAACCAGGCAAAAATTTAGTCGAAGCACATTCGAGGTCAAGTCCAGCAAATTTTTGCAGCCCAGGGTCACGCACAACCGCAAGATCTCCCTAAACCCTAGCTCCGTTAACTTGTATGTCAGGAAAGGGTTACGATAGTTAACGTAAATAATTTTTTATCCTGAACATTGGATAGCCACAACTCAAACTGACACCTATGATGGTGCAAAAAAAAAACTATCCTGTATCATCCAAAATGACATGGGACAGCGATTCAGGCTAATCCATTATCGTGTAAACACGATAATGGATTTTTTTTTTTGAAATATAGACTTCCACTACAACAATCTGAACGTTAAATGCAACCTATACTTAGCTCCAGTAAGTACTGACGGCAGAAACAGCCGCTCAAATTGTCGCCGTCGTGCGGTGAAGTTTCTTTGCCGGTTGGTCATGCTCATCACCGTCACCCCCACTCTCCGCACTTCCTGCCGCTACTTCATTGTCGTTCGCACTCGCCGCCCGCGCGCGAATACCTCCCTTCCCTTTTGATGGTGGCAACAAGGTACCGTGCTTCCGGTGTTTGAGCCGAATCTCGAAGCAGGATACTGTCTCTCCGTCTACCGTGTGCTTGACTTTGTTGCACAGGTACACGCGTGTTGCGTTTGGCTGCTGGGATCGAAAGGGGAGCTTGCAGGCACCACAATAGAAGGTAGCCCCCCCCCCCCCCCCCC